GAGGCCTAGAAGCTGTAGTGTTTTTTTGTTTGTTGTTGGTTGGTTGGTTGGTTGGTTTTTTTAAATTTACATGCCAGTTAGTTAGCATATAGTGCAATAATGATTTCAGGAGTAGAATCCAGTGGTTCATCCCCTATGTGTAACACCCAGTGCTCATCCCAACAAGTGTCTTCCTTAATGCCCCTTGTCCATTTAGCCCATGCCCCCACCCACAACCCCTTCAGTAACCCTCTGTTGTCCGTATTTAAGAGTCTCTTATGTTTTGTCCCCCTCCTTGTTTTTATATTATTTTTGCTTGCCTTCCCTTATGTTCATCTGTTCTGTATCTTAAATTCCACAAGTGAAGTCATTCTCTAATTTTGCTTGTGTATATATACATATGGTACATATATACAAATGGTATATATATACACACCACATCTTCTTTATCCATTCATCTGTCGATGGACATTTGGGCTCTTTCCATACGTTGGATGTTATCAATAGCACTGCTATAAACATTGGGATGCATGTGCCCTTCGAAATAGCACACCTGTATCCTTTAGATAAATACCAAGTAATGCAATTGCTGAGTCATAGGGTAGTTCTATTTTTAATTTTTTGAGGAACCTCCATACTGTTTTCCAGAGTGGCTACACCAGTTTGCATTCCCACCAGCAGTGCAAAAGAGATCCTCTTTCTCTGCATCCTGGCCAGCATCTGAGGTTTCCTGAGTTGTTAATTTTAGTCATTCTGACAGGTGTGAGGTGGTATCTCATTGTGGTTTTGATTTGTATTTCCCTGATGATGAGTGATGTTGAGCATTTTTTCAAGTGTCTTTTAGCCATCTGGATGTCTTCTTTAGAAAATCAACTATTTATGTTTTTTGCCCATTTCTTTCCTGGATTATTTGTTTTTTGGGTGTTGAGTTTGATAAGTTCTTTATGGATTTTGGATACTAACCCTTTATCTGATTTGTCATTTGCAATTATCTTCTCCCATTCTGTCAGTTGCCTTTTAGTTTTGCTGATTGTTTCCTTTGCCATACAGAAGCTTTCTATCTTGATGAGGTCTCAAAAGTTCATTTTTGTTTTGGTTTCCCTTGCCCCTGGAGACGTGGTGAGTAAGAAGTTACTGTGGCCGAGGTCAAAGAGGTTGTTGCCTGTTTTCTCCTCGAGGATTTTGATGGCTTCCTGTCTTATGATGAGGTCCTTCATCCATTTTGAGGTTATTTTTGTGTCTGGTGTAAGAAAGTGGTCCAGGTTCATTCTTCTGCATGTCGCTGTCCAGTTTTCCCAGCACCACTTGCTGAAGAGACCGTCTTTGTTCCATTGGATATTCTTTCCTGCTTTGTCAAAGATTAGTTGGCCATATGTTTGTGGGGTCCATTTCTGGGTTCTCCATTCTTTTCATTGATCTGAGTGTCTGTTTTTGTGCCAGTACCATACTCTTTTGATTATTACAAAAAGCTGTAGTTCTAACAAGCACCCCCAAGGATGCTGGGCACAGGTGGTTCTCACCACACAGTAAGACATGCTGACATAATCAACTCAAAGATGCTGACCTCCTGGAATATCACTTCCTAAAGGCTATAGCCTCTGATAGAAAATAACATGAACTATCAGCACTAAGCCTAAAAGGTAGAAGTATATGACCCTAAAAACCCAACACATCGTACATTCTAGGTCAAAAACTACTACTTCAGCATTTATGTGTATCTTAGTAGAGTAAAACCTTAATTGCCAGTACATAAACGTTTATAAATACAACCATCTCCTCTTTTCCTTCCACATTTCCTAAGTGCTAAACTTGCATTTTACCCCTCTATCTCTCTAGCCATTCAGGTACAGGTGAAAATCTGTGGAAGGCACAGATTGGAAAGACAGCAGAATCATCTCCTGGCTAAAATGCACTGGGGAAAAACTAAGGTGTAAGAATCTTCCAGAAGACAGAACAATGGGCAGAGTTGCCAGGAATGCAGCTAAGAAATCCATGGAAATGCTTTTCCTTCTCTCCTTAGTCCCCTTCTGGATGGGTTAAGGAAAATGCAGAATGACACTGGAGTCACAACAGGATAGGTAAGGAAAACGCTGCGAAACTGTAACCTAATCTTTGGCATCAAAGATGATGACCTATATAGAACACATACAAGGTGTTTCATACATGTTTTGTGTTATTTTAGGTGACTGTCAGGTGGCCACACCTAGGTAGTGGCTGTTACTGGAGTTGCCAAGGGAAAGGCAAAGCAGGGAAGGGGGCAAGAGCTTACTGACGAGTAGGAATAACTTCAGGGGGGTCTAAGCTAGAGGAGTATCCTTCCTTGCCTGGTACCTGGAACTCAGATGATTAAAGCAGAGAAATATTGCCTCCTGGGGATTAAGGGAAGAGGCATGGCTGTGGGCTGGTTCATTTTCATGTCAATGGCATGTTCCAGGCTGCGACCTTTGCTATCTCTAAGAGTTGGCTAGCTCTGGAAGGGAAAGTCTATCCCCAGTCAGGAAGGTTTTTAAGGTGTCCCGACACCATAATATACAGAAAGTGTTAAATTTAAACAATACAACAGAACTATCCACTCACCTCCTGCTTACTAAAAGGAGATTTAGCAGCCTCTTTCCGAACTACAAACAAAACCCTTCCATGTCATCCTAAGGGAACCAGAGACAGAAGCTTAAGATAAATCCACTTCCCAAACCCACTCAGTATCTTCAATGTGACACATTTGCTCTCAGCTTTTAACTGGGACATGCAAAGCTTTTAAGGGGATAATAAAGGGGAAAGATGGTAGGAAGCGTTGGAAAGGTGGAAATGAGACAGAGGCACCACGCTGAGTTTTAATTGCCTAAAGAGCAACTCGCCAAAACTTCTGTGAAGACTTCTGAAGCAGAAAACAGGAAAGCATGAAGCTTCGGAAATCATCTCTGAGCTGATTTTCACTCTAAGGGACAGCCACTGTGGGAGGCACACCCTTTTCCAAATAACCATGCGAAGAGATGCAGTCTCTAGAAACAACAGTTGGCAAGGCAAACAACTAACTCTGCGTCTAAACACACACATCTTCTCCGCCTCTGTCACAGAGGCCAACAATAGGAATTCCCTTAGATTCCACGCTAAGAACAGAGAGCACACACGCGCTTAAAGCATCCTGAGTTAGGATTTGTTTAAAACCAAGAATCCAGTTTTGGTGTGAGGTAGACATTTTGCAATTCCCCTTTGCTACCCTAGTTCAACCTACATCCCCATGCAACCCTCCCCACCCACATCCCCAAACACAGGGATACTGGGGTATCCAGTACTGGGGATACTCTCTTTTCTTCATAACATGAAGCATGAACATAACATGAAACAAACATAATTTGTTTACTTCTCAGCATTTAGAGTCTAACCTTACAAAATAATCAAGTCTGGTGAACACGTGGGACAAACTAATTAACAAATAACAATTTGCTGAGCATTTATTATTTGCCAGCCTGCCAAGCATTTTCCGAGCATTATCTCCACGAATCCTTACAATTCTAGGAACTAGGTACTATTACCATCTTCATTTTCCAGGTAAGGAAATCACGGCCCTGAGAGATTAAGTAGTTAGCTGAAAGTCACATGGCTATGAAGCAGCCAAGTCCACATTTAGACCCCAGTTGCCTAACGTGAAAGCCCAAGCCCATGTGTAATGACTAAGTGCTGAAGAGATGAGGTGAGTTTCCATGATCTTGTGATTAAAGCTAAAAGGACATGTTCCCTCCATGGGAGCTCTAACAACCTCCAAGCAGTCACAGCACAGGGAGACATCATGCCACAAGAAGGCATTCCCAACTGCCAACACCCCACAAGGTACTCAGTCTCTGCATCTTATAGGATCAGGAAAGAGTGGCCAGAGATAAACGTTCAAGAAAGGGCAAGAAGTACTGGCCTGACAAGATGGTGTATGTGTTTGTGTGTGTGTGTGGGGGGGGG